CAACGAGGTTTGGCGAGTGCCTGGAAAAGCGTACAAAATCACATGTTAGGCTCTAACTTGGGCTTCTGTTTTAGACAGTTTAGTGACGAGTAAATTAAGTGAACGCTCATTCCAGAAATGGCACTATTCAACAATTTAAAAGCAAAGAAAATGTCAAGTAAATTCACCGCATTTGACAGAAATTAATGAATATAATGCAATTTATCCAATAAAAATTTTGTGTCTTTACATGCTCTATGCTTTCTAATTTTTTAATAATGTTCAAATTAAGCAAAATAACAATACTAATACTTCCACAATTCAACTGTTTTGTTTATACACTTTTGAACATTTTGGAAGCTGTATTCACATTAATAAAGGAAGCTGTTTATTTAGGAAGAAAGAAAATTTACAAAATCTGAACACAATTTTCTCTGCAACATCTCGTAGGATGAAGGGAACCATACTGTGAGTACCTGTGATGTGTCACTCTGGTTGCACAGCTGGCACTTGTTGGTGCTGCAAGCTGCAAGTTCAACGTATGTTGCTTCAGGTGCAACAGGGTCGTGCTCGTGCACCTGCTTCACTGATTTTTTTTCGCCTGCTACAATTTTCTCCTTTGGTTCACGTTTTGCAAAATTAACGCCGTAAAAATGACCAATGAACGGAATATTGTCAAGCTTATGCCGAATTCAACGAGAGATTTATTTTGTCTCATTTAACCAGAATTTTTTATTTTGTCTCATTTTACCTGAATTTGTCTCGTTTAACCTGAGTTTTTTTTTTTTTTCATCTGCACGCGTCTTGCAATTGAAATGTTTCTTTCGTCTAGTATCTTATATTTTACACTAACAGGTATTTACGGCGTTGCCTAGGATAAATTTTTCATGCGATTCGAGACCAGCCTTTTCTTATATTTTTTAATATAACCTTTCCCTCAAATTTATGATTCAACCATTCGTAACAAAAATTTCTAGGTGACATCGCGACACGATGAATATGGTGGGTACTCGCTTACACAACCTCTACATATTTACGGTGCCAGGCTTCAAACAACAGAAAAACTTTGACAAATAGATGTTGAGTATTTCATGAGATTAACTGATTCTAATTAATAAATTTTAATTAGTGTGTGCAACGTTATTCAGATCGATAATTGTTGAAATGTTCAATTTGTTGATGTAGCTCTGCACCAGTGCAAAAACTTGTTTTCACTTACGTACGGTGGGACGTTTCAAGTATGAAGTATTTTACAGATGTATATTGCAATAAAGATACTATAGGATGCATAAAACACTCCGCATAACAGACTCGTAATTTTAAAAAAAGTACAAAAGGTAATAATTTCTGGCAGGTTCATGCAATGAAACACGTAAAAAGCCTAATTATATGATTGCTTGGCTTAACGTGATTTAATCGGTAAATACTAATCTCACAAGTTCTATCCAAAGAAAATGACTCTATTTGGAGACTACAGTATAGCACGAATTATGTATTGTAGTGCATTTAAACAGATCGCATTGATAACACAAATAAGGCTTTTGCTCCATGATTACACTCGATGTGTGGTGTAGTACCGCAGTTGATTGCCAGCTTGACGCACATATATGATGGTAATAAGTTAGTATGCAAGTCTCTTCAATTTTGTCGATGTCTGAGGAGTCATGAGTGCCGAGGCCACGTTTGCGACCTCTCCAAAGGTGACAGAATTAAAGTAGACTTCTGATGAGGTAGATCAAGTGGACGTTTCAGAATTCGAGAAGTATTGTCGATGGTAGCCTTTTTGAAGCTAAATGCAGTATTCTCTCTTCTCGTGTACTGCTGCCTGCTGTGGGCTCCGTTCACGGCGGTTCCTGTGCGATAATTTGGAAGTTTTCCAGCGAATTTTCGCGTCTCTGATCAGCGGGATGGAGAAGCTGGTCTTGTGGGAGAGTCTCGAGCTCTTGACTGTTTGCTCATTCAAGAGGAGAAATGAGAGACATGTGATCCTGCACACGTGGAAAATTATAAATAAACTTTGAAAAAGGTCTTCATTGATGTAATGTACCTTAAATGAGCGAACGGAGATGACTCCAAGTACCTAATTTAAACAAGAGGTACAGTGCTTACCACGGTTATGGGTGTGAACTCCGAGTTGCTGCAAGACTTTTTGGTAACGGGGCATTGCTGGTCACTTTGAGACCTTAATACGCCTGCAACTAATATAATCTGGTACCGTACTTTATTTGTTGCAGGTTTCGACAAGTTTAAAAGTTTGACGTTAATTTAGTATATGAAGTTTAACTATTAGTATAATGATTAGCGTAATAAATCAAGATAAAACTGGCGGCCGTCTTTGTGAAACGAATTCAATCATTACTGACACGAAAAAACGCAAGTGCTTCGTTTAATGCGAGAAATCCAATATGAACTCTTATGGGTATGAGGTTATGACACTGAATCTGTTGATCGTAACAAGTAATGATAAAAAATCTAAAAAGATAGTTAAAAATATTCTCGAAAATGAAAAGACAATTAACAACAAACAAATTTCATTTTATGAAAATTAATGGAAATCATAGACTTTCGGCTACATGTTTCCGATGTTATTACATGGCCAGCTTTGCTGCAAATATATGTTCAATATATAAAATATTTTGAAATTTTTAGGAAACTTTATTGTATGTACCTCTCGATTACGCTTATTTCAGTGTTCACGTTAATATCTACCAGTAAATTTTCTCAGATAAAGTACCGACTTGCTGAATCATCCTCGAAACCTGCATGAGCGACAGGCGGGCGCGGATTGCAAGGAGATTGACATTTTATAGGAAGATTGTATAAAGTTCCATGGGATATTGTCTGGATTGCTGCGTGATATTAATGAAAGAGCTAAAGAAATGCCTTGGGATCCGCTTTTTACCCACCATGGATAATATCTCACTGGTTTGGATCAAAAATTAGGAAATAAGATCGCGGACTGAACTAACTCTAGACCACGTGCACCTGAGATCGTAGATGGTCTTTAATTCCGTGCAAGGTCATCCAACCACGAGAGTTGTTTACTTCACGTCTTTTTTTCGATACACTATAGTCCCTCACGATGTGATATTATAATTGACGCTGGATCTAATAATTTTGATGCAGTACCCATGCAATATATATGATACCTGAATGAATATTTTATTACCCAAGTGTTTTGAAGAGAAGTTGATTGTATGCGCTTAAATGAATCATTTCTTTTCCGGGTGAGAGGCAGCGCATGTTGATTCGTATTTTTTCTGTCACCCTGTGATTTTCGTTACACTCGTTTGTATTTATGCAAATTCAGTGCGATTGTGCTCAGGCCATAGATCAGATAGATCTCTACAATAAATGGACCTCCTCGAACCTTTTGGAACAAATATTATAGCGCACATTGTTAAGTTTAAGCATCATTTATACAAATAACTATCTTAGCTTTCAGTGCGATTCATGAAAACGAAGCAGACAAAAAATCTAAAAACGCACGCCAGACCGCATCTTCGATAATTATCAAGATTGGTTTTGCTACTGCAAAGTTATGCGTGGAAAGGGTAAATGCTGTAAAAATTTGTCCAAAAAAATCGTTCTAAGGAAGCGGTTATAAATTATCACTTTGTCTAATCTACCTTAAGAAACGGTCATAGTCCATATGCTTCGGAGTTTAAGGCTAATTATTTTTTTTTATTCGTACTCAAATTCTTACAAATTACACAAAGTCGCTCTCGAAATTCCTGTGTCGGATGGTTCCAATATAAATTCGTTTAAGATCGTTACTTGTCTTAAAAAAATTGCGGTAACTCTAAATTGACGTCGGATATTACCGTTATTTGAAATCCGTGTTCATCTAAATGTTTTGATGTTTATTTCATTCCTGCATGAAACATTTATAATAATTTTACTAGCTCTTTAAACGCCGGTTCACACGCTCGGCACCGTATGGACGCGCTAAAAATTGCAACGATTTCATTCCGACTTAAAACTGCGCAGACAAGTCGTTTTGTAAAACTGAGCGTGCGGACCGGCCTTAACATGCGATATTTAAAATAAGGATAACATAAATTATTCACGTGGAGTCAATGCAATGTGTTATATAATCTCAAATTAAGCCAGTACGGTATTGCAATTCCATTAACATTTTACCCACTGTTGCGCTTCGTTCGATGCTCTTGCACGTCATATTCATATCAATTGACGGTCCTTCTTCTAGCTAAAATTGTTAGGTTTCTTTTATGATGAATGTTGCTTAATAAGATTTAAAAATATAGCACTAAATTTTATTTAATTTGACTTTTATCGCTGAGAACGCTTATCAACGTTTGCCATTGTGTTATCGACTTGAGTAACTTGAGCTTATTTTTAATTTGCTCACATATCCCGGACGTGATTTATCACACCATATAGGAATGCAGCTATGCTAGGTGTAAGTCACGGCCCAGTGAACTTGACGCTGTTGATCACACCATATAGGAATGCACCTATGCTAGGTGTTAGTCACGGCCCAGTGAACTTGACGCTGTTGATCACACCATATAGGAATGCACCTATGCTAGGTGTTAGTCACGGCCCAGTGAACTTGACGCTGTAGAAGGTGGCCGGGCATCAAGTGTCCGCTCTTTACTCAGGTGCAGGTCGTGATAAATGCATGTAAGAGCTTAGCTCGCTTGGGAGGTACGTGGCCTCGCATCTGCACCACACTTTGCCATGCACCTGTGCACCATTACAGTGCACATGCAGAGGTGTATTCTTCGCGCACACAATGCCATCCGCGTCTCACTTCAATGGGACAAATTTCGATCTATTTAAATCGCTCTAAAATGGGCCTGTGTATTATACCTAGTTCCAGCAACATCCTCTTATAGCCAGTAAATATTCTGGTATTATCTCCTTTTATTTTTATTATTATTATTTTTTTGCTTTTGTCTTCTTAATGAAGTAATGAAATGAACAATGGTGAGTGTGGGAGGCCTTTAAAAAAAGTAATGAAGTAAATATTATGAGAACTTTTCGTCTTATTTCAGGTATACCACCGACCTTCACGGAAGTTGTGTCCTGCGTTATCCCGCGTACCGTACCACCACAGCAGCAGCCATGCCCGGCAAGTGTCCTCGCTGCGAGAAGGCCGTCTACTTCGCTGAGGAGAAGATCGTCCTCGGCAAACCCTATCACAAGATGTGCGTCAAATGCGGTCAGTTTAATTGTTTTCCTTATGTGCAGATATTTGCTTCAATCAAATTACATCGCATTGACTATTTGCAATCCAATCGAGAAGCTACTTATGACAGTGATTTGTATTCAACGCAGAGTTTTAAAAAGAATTTTGTGCAGCCTCGATTTTCTCTTCGAATATTGTGAAAATTCATTTTGAATTTAGTTGTCAAAACAGAATGTTAACATTTTTATCATTTATAAAAAAATTGTAAGCATGAAGACATTCACAGGGCCCATGTAACGATGCACTGCGCTAGTTATAATAGTAAAAAAAATATCTCTAGATGCTTAAGAAATACATGTTACAAACAATCGTACAGGAGATCAGAACTGTCGAGCCTACTTGTCGAAACTAAAGTTGATCAACTTTTTTGTGCTAAAGGACAGAAGACAAATAGAAAAGTCAAAGCAGGATCTCACCCGCTTGATATCATTGTCAAAAATTTAACGTTTGTGGACCTAGTTCATATATTCAACAGTTCAAATAAAAAATCATAGTTTGATGCTAAGCTGCCTCGGCATTCTGGATATTTCGCTCCTGCAACATACTTAACTCGCCTGTCAAGGTTGCACATAATAGCCTCTTGTCAGCTGGCCCACAATTGCCATGATAGCGCAACAGACGCGTCACGGTCGTCGTATTGTCAGAGTCAATAATTGCGGCAGTTTTGCGTCACTTACCTGCTAATATTCCAACAAAAGGCAGCTATTAGCAGCTTAAATGATCCCCCAATTTACTTCATTAGCATTTTACTCAGTTCGTTGCATTTCTGGTAGGATTCCATGTGGAAAAATGCTACCTTATAGAGTTGTAATTGTCGTCAGAGAATCGAGTTTTTTGTTGAATATGATACAGGAAGTCTATACCATTGAATCTACAAATTCTAATTATTGAGATTGATTGAATCTAAATTGAATCTACAAATTCTAATTGAATGAACGCCATCAATTGCTGAGAAATGCTTCTACGTTGTTCTGTATTGTTTGATGATTGGCTTTTTGTCCTATTTCGTCAGCACTAATTTTTTTATAAAGACCACATAAGTTTTTTAAATTTATTAGATAGATGCCAAATAGTCAATCGTTTTTCAAAGTTTCTGTCGTATAAAATACCTACTTACAAATTCATTTAAAATTCTAAAGGCTGCCCAGGAAATGAAGGCCAACAAACGCCCCGAACATGTCATTACACTTCCGCTTGAAATGTATTCATCAAAGATTCTGTTTGAAGAAGAACTTATTTCACTATAATCGCTATTCGTTTACTGTTAAGATTTATTTACGTTGTAACCATTCATGTTTATGTTTCCTAAATCAGATTACGATGAAAACACACAGTGTGAAAGTCTGAAATACGTTATTTTAAATAGTAGAAATATCCTTCATTAATTAAGAACTATTGAATAAACATTCTATCTCTCAAGTTAACTAACGTCGAATCTCAAGCTTCATGACTTGAGTACTAAAAGTTAACTTGATTCAGCACATCCATAAGCTGATTGAGTGTGATGGGACAGTAGCGGTTATCTGGTACAGGGAACTGCAACAAGACTGAGTGATGAGTAGTGCTGGTACAGTAGCTGTTATCTGGTACAGGGAACTGCAACAAGCTGCTGGACAGCGGTTCGGTCACCGATCACCAGGACGAGATGTACTGCAAGAGCTGCTACGGCCGTCTCTTCGGACCCAAGGGCTATGGCTACGGCGTCGGCGCTGGCGTCCTCTCCATGGATGACGGCACTAAGTATCAGGTTATTACATATACCTACATAATAATAAATTGAACAATAACATTTACAGATTCTTAGAATTTATATAACATATATTGAGGTATACACTTTGATTTCTGTTTAATTTTTTGCGCTCTTGAAATTATTTAGTCTGCTAAATTGGATTACACGTCCATAAGTGGCCTGGGAGCCCATCTATGTCAGATTGTCAGAGTTCTCCGAGGCTGATGTTCTACTTGTAGAACCATCTAATGTGCTGGTTATATGCACCTACACGAGTTGCTTCTCACTAATGTGATGCCTAAATAATTATTGAAAGTTTAGGCGTAGCACATTCTCTATAGCTCGAGCATAATACTGGACGCGATCGACTCGTGTAGACGTGGCAGCGCAGTCGAGTTGGGCGCCATGCTTGTCGCCGCTAGTGTCATGAGACAGATTTGTCAAGTATGAAATAAACTGTACATTTTTGTTACTGAAAATACAATAATCAAAATATATCACTTCACATACTAAGCCGGAATTTAACATTATAGTCAAATAAATGTGGTGCATCTTTTAGGATAAGGGACATAACTAACGATAAATCGGAGCGTGCCATGTTTGGCTGAAGCTGAGCGCGTGATCCAACGAAATTAACGAATGCCTTAACCTAAACACGTAAAATGTTCCAGACGACCGTCACTTGTTCGCCCTCGGTTTGTTTATTTGCAGGAAAGTAAACTACTTATCTTCGGGCGCGTAGTCATTCCATTAGGTAATTCCTGACCATTGATAGATTTCTTTTGTCACTCCTATGTTACTCTGAGCTGTGTAGCTGTTCGTGATGGAAAACACCTCACAAATAAGTCACGTCTCACTTTTGTACGTGACTTTTATGCGTGTGTACAAAATGCGAATTATGTTACTCTTATGTGCAACGGGGAAATTATTTGCGAAATTAATTATCATTATTTGAATAGAACGGTCCGCCGCGCAGCAACGTTCCGTCCACCCTCGAGGCCTACATCGCACCGCTCAAGAACCACGTGAGCAGCTCAGCTACCACCACCACCATCATCACCGATGACAGCACCACCAACAACAATACCACAATCATCACACGCGAGACCTCCATCACCAAGAGCGGCTCTGCCAACAACATCACCAACAACAACTACAACGCCAACATCAACAAGACTGTGAGCTCCATCAACCAGGCCAACCGCCCCCTCATCACCAACATCCCCAAAACCACATCCAAGTGGGGTGGAGGAACATATTCCTGCACCCGCTGCTGTGAGTCTTGCATGTAAATTATGTGCGTCATGTGGTGTCATGTGCTATAATTTTCAGTCATGTTGGGAGCAGACAAGTTAGTATCAGACAGGCCAGTCAAAATAACGAAAATTATGTCCGTCATTACGCGCAAAGACAACAGTTTTCCCTCCATCTTGGACAACTTATTGCATGATTATTAATGCTTTGATTGAGTAATGTAATGTATTAAGTGATGGAGTAATGTGTTGCACGAATGAGTGTGTTGCTCAGTGTATACATCAGTGAACAACGCGGAGCACAAGAGTGGGCCAGCCAGAGAAGAGTTTGTTAGAGCGTCGGGCGACAAGTCTGACCCGGCGGGCGCTTCTGTCTGACTCGAATCCTAATTTACAAGTCAGGTCTTCTAAAAAAGCTCAGGGCAATGCATCCCCGTCAACGAAACTTTTATTATAAACCAATACGCTCTTTCGATAGTCAGTTACCAGACTGTGCAACTTCTCGTTATGTCTAGGCGTGAACTTTGGTAGCCTGCCTCTTGTCCCATATACTCTTACATACCGTGTGGTATTATTAACTGTTTTGGCAGTGGGTGTTCAATCTGTTCATGTCATGTTATGTGCAGGCAAGGCAGTGTTCATGTCATGTTGTGTGCAGGCAAGGCAGTGTTCATGTCATGTTGTGTGCAGGCAAGGCAGTGTTCATGGCAGAGCGTGTGATGGCCGCGGGGGGTGCGTGGCACAAAGCTTGCTTCACTTGTCAGGAGTGCAACAAGAGACTTGACTCCCACAGCATCAGGGAGCACGAGCGCAACATTTACTGCAACCGTGAGTCCCTGCATCGTCGTATGCAACATTAGCGTCACCAGGGTGGAGTGAGCGAGATTGTGTGCACGTTCAATGTATTTTCGATTGTAACATTGCGGCTCGTATCATGCCATTCCTCTTTAAATAATTCAGTAAAAAAGCGCCAATGCGTATCTATTAACGTGTTTGTAGAATTTTTCTAGCATTGTTTTCTTCCTATTTGCTAGTTTCCCATTTAATGAACAATTTAGACGATTATATATTTCCGTTTAATGAGTGAAGTTTGGTTAGCCAATTGCTGAACGTAGCTTAACCTGAGAACAACTGATTATCTGCGTAATTTTCTTCATGTTATCTGCTCACTGGTAATTGAATGTAATTTTGCAGCGTGCTACGGCAAGAACTTCGGGCCCAAGGGCTACATGAGCTGGTCTGCTGCGAAGGTCTCATAAGAACTGGCACTTCGTGCGTGCATCGAGGACGCCTGGATGCTCGATGTCTCATGGATGTCCCTGTCAATCCTGTCGCCATTTGGATCACCCCAAACCGCCTGAAGTTTTCTACAATATATCGCAAGATTTAATTTACATTTCGAAAATTGAAAATTAAGATTCGTTCACTATTTTAAAGAATCTTGTAACTTTATGTCTGTTTGCATTAAGCACCAATTTATCGAAATTTCATTGTGTTATCCTGCATTGTTACGGATACCTGATTCCTATATTTCCTTAGGACAATTAAATTATGCGTGTCTTTGTCATGTTTTGCGTTTGTGATTAATTGTGTACAGTTTTTACCGATAATTAATCGTTGTTCAAGCGATGATGTGTGCCTTATAAATATTACTTGTCGCGCGTGCAGTCTTTTTGAGGGCATACCACAGCCCTCGTGGAGCTCTCGGCAAGCACAATTCTGCCATTAACGCTGCTCTCAAGTTCATCTTCAATCAAACATTACCTCAAATATTTTTCTCTGTGCCTCAAAAATTCCGTCCAGACTAGACGAAGTTTCAATATATCACTAATAACCGTTTGACAATCAGAATAATAATAATCAGAAGTTTTCTTTCTTTTCTTATCACCCAGAAAATAACCACCTACTTGCGAAATGTACAACATTGGCTTTAAAAACCATAGTACGCAGTTGAACGTGCCCTGATGCCCCTCAATCATAGTACAAGTTTACCGCGCCTCTGACGCTGCTTTTTTGATTGCCAGCGTGTTGTGTCTGACGCTGAGGATTCTTGCTTTAGCCGTCATTTCAATAGTTTTATTTTATTTAGTAAGTTACATTGAATGTTTTCTCTTTAATGTATCTGTTATTCTTTCAGAAATTTGTCATAATTTTTGTAATAAATTTACGTTGGAAAGGTCCATGTTTTTTGGCAATGGAAGTGTAATTTGCTTCACATTTCGGAGATTAGAGGGCATTGGTCTTTATTTTTCCTGTTCATATTTACACAGCCGACGTTGAGCTGATCGATTTCTTAGCTAGAAGATCCCTTGAACTGCTAACTGACATCGACCCTCTTAACCAAGATTCTCCATTCACACGCCAAGTATGTTTACACGTGAAGTCTGCCTAAGAATATTTTATTATAATCTCAGTGTAGCTATAACCTAAGAGTTGATGTGTTTTCATTGCCCTAATTTTCGAAGCCGACATCTCAAGTTTTTGGTAATGTAGCTGTTTATGTTTACAAAATACTAACCCTTATCATAAGCACGACGCTTTAGGTCATAACTATAACGAGTTTCCTTATTGTCTAAAGGTGTTGTAGTCAGCGGATTGTATTAACTAATTATCCTGCTAAGAAATTACTATTTCAAAGCTGCACGAAAGGATGCTGCAGAGTGCTTGATGTTTTATTTAGCGCCCAGCTAAAAATTTCCTAGTTAAGCTGGAATAATCAAAGGCTTGTCTTTTGTTCGAGTTGACTACTTTACTTGAATAATAAGTCACTTGAAGACAGTTTAAACTCCCAAAAGTATGGATATTTTAAATTATTCAGCTCTGCATTTGGTTTTTTTGTTGTCTTAGGCCATCGGAAGGCTCTAAAATGTCACAACTTGAGCTCTAATACTGCTATCGGATCAGACGGGGTCAGATAATGGGTATTTTTTTAGATTTGCAAACGAATTTGAATCAAGAAAAGCCTATTAATAATATGTAATTCACTTATTTCACTGTTTAGCAAAATTTTCATCAAAAAAATGAGCCTTTGGCAAGCGTTACCGGCCTATAAATAATGTTTGTCACGAGTCAGGTCTGGTTGAATGTCAAACCGTTTCAGCCTTCTTCTTTTCTAAACGTTCTCTAAGAAAGTTGGTTGATAGGAATCCGTTTCACCGCTATAATCCGGTACAGTTGTATCGACCTAAAACTTGAATGAATTCATTTCATTGTTTTTGCCGTGTGTTGAACGCATAAATACTATTTTTAGATGAACATTCACGTTCAACAAAACGCATAGATAATATTATTAGAAACAGATTCACGTACAGCACGGTCACCTACATGCCAGTATTTCTTAGCATAGTTTAGCCAGTTTTCGTTCATTGGCTATTTCTGAAGTGACTATTGTGCCTTTACATGTAAGAATATATTCTTCTATTGTTAGAAGTGCATAAATATATCTTATTCCCTTCGATGTGTATCTTTTGATGACAAATTACTTCAGGACTAAAATACATGGATAATATCGTATTTTATTCCATAAAACTAATATCTGATTCGCCACCCTCAACGGCGGTATAAATGACCCTCGAGGCAATATCTACCAAAGCTCGTTGCTAAACTCCATTTATGCATTCGTTAATTATTAAACTAAGCAAATAATGGTAATACTCTTCAAGTTGTCTTCTTTGTGTTCTTCGAGTTGACGGCTTTTTCGTTTGTTACGCGAGTTTCAGCAGATCAACAGATTTACATCATCTCTCAAATAATCCAGAGCCGAATGTTACCTCATTGAATTGCTGAAGTACTTCGAGAACCCAGGCTATTAGGGCTTTCAAAAATGTCTGCCGCTATTTTTTTTAAATTATACGATGTTTACAATCAGCCTAGTGGTTAGAGTTCAGAATACCAGGATTGGAGCAGAGAGGTGCGGGTTCGATCCCCCGGCTCCATGCGCCAGTTTCTGGTCAGAATCGGCGAAGAGGCCGGGCGGTTAAGCACAGAAGAGTTGGCGCAGTGAGTTGCGCGTTCGAGACCTCGAAAAGCTGTAGATATTCTGCGATGTTAAGAAGCGGCGGCAGGACTACGGCCTTTTAAACGCTGAAACCGCTTTATTATACGCTGTTTTGGCCTTTCAGATTCTGAGGAGTCGTGCCAGAATCGAATTAATTAAGGATGCCTAAAGTATAACAAATTAGTGGTTTGGAGACACCTTAGTTGGCGTTTTATTCCAGACAGTTCATTAATCTTTACGGAACAAGGCGTAAAGTTCTCAGAACCTCATCGATAAAGTCGTGGTTCGACATTCACAGTTAATAAAAAAGCTTCAAAAACTGCCGACAATTGCCGATGTTGAAACGGACATCATCGTGGAATGATATGGATTTAGAATGGAATAGAAGTGTCGGCACTGAAGAAATTGGACCACGGCCTGTTAACGATTCTTGGACTTTTCGTGACTTGATTCACGAGGGATCCGGCCTTTGGAACCCGAGCTTTCTACAACTGACAATTGATTGAGATTGCAGCTGGACTTATTGCAAGGCCCGTAAGGTGCTATGCATTTCATGACTGAACATATGCTCTTGCATAACATAACATAGTGATGTCGGCGCTGAAGTGTAGGCCTGATGTGGCCTGTCGCCGATTCTTTTCTGTTACGTATATTCGTTTGGCGAAGGATTTGAATACACGATTTTTCGTTCAGTTGTCTTTATAAATCGGTTTCTGTAAACAAACAATATACAAAGGTAAAAATGGTTACATAAAATTAGTATTGCACATAAAGGTATAATCGAGAAGTAAAATCATTTATTTCGAACATATAACACGATAAACGCCACTGCGCACTGATGCCCAGTCTGACACGGTTCCGTTAATACTGACACGTTGTCGTCTACCTACTAGAAAATCTCTGATCCATTGGAGTACGTTTCCCTCAATCCCCAAGGACTTCACTTTACGCAACAGCCGCTCATGCGGAACACTGTCAAATGCTTTGGCAAAATCGAGGTACAATGCGTCCACTGGCTCCCTTTCGTCCATAGCATCGTCTAGTCTGTTTTTGAAGATGTTCATACTCGGAGCGTCAACGATGCTATCAGGGAGGCTGTTTCACATGTCAGTGACTCGAAGCGAGAAGAAATGTTGTCACATGGATGTGTTACAACGCAGGTTTTTAGTTTATAGCTGTGGCCCCTGGTGTTGGTTCTTGTTTCAAATTCTAGGATTCATTCTGGGACCTTGTATAAACCGTGGGTATACTTGTACACTTTAATGACTTCACCACGCAGACGTCGATAACTGAGGCATGGAAGCATCATAATCTTTAATCTTTCTTTATAAGACTTGCCTTTCAATCCCGAATTTTTCCTTTTCATTTTCAGGTAAATTCCGCTAATCATCTCCCATAATTTAAACTTTCGGAGAAACTTGTATTTAATAAAAGCTTGCAAGCGTTACATTCGTTAAATAAGTTGAAGATGGCATATAAATTTTTATATCTCCTATCTGCTCAAATCTCTAATGTACAAAGAAAACCCGTTATCACTTAATTCAAGCGAGAACTAATACCATGGTCGTTTAAAATTTTCGTCCATTTTCTAATGCTTTGGTAAATATCGGTGTGGCAACGTTTATCATAGCAGAGTTTACGCAAAACTGTTATTGTTTGCTTTACAATTAGTAGATTATATTGATAACTTCTTACACGAGTCCTAGGCGTTCCCAATTTCAAAGTCGTGCCCGGCTCTACATTTTGTCAGAGAACTAACTTCAGTTGGAATATGTTAACAAACTGTCTCTTATCTTTACATAGGTACAAGTAGGTACAGTCAAATACACACGAGTGACATGAGTCACCGCTGAATTGCATTTTTATGAGAAAATTAAACAAATGATTGAAACCTTGATTTCGAAATGAAATCAATGTTAACGTCTTCGAAACTTTTCAGGAATGATATTATTCTATTCAATTTTTGAGCTCCGGCGTTTTATTTATTTATTTATTTTTTTTCAGCATGATATTGTTTATTTTTGCTATTTTGAGGACTGGCAACTCATGTGAGATTAACACTAATATGAAACAACTAATATTCAATTAAATTCTTCGTGTCGTGTATGTTAATGTTAATTAAATTCTTCGTGTCGCACAGGATTAATAAACAGGAATGTTTATCCTTTTCCCTCGTTTGCGCACTATGCTGCACGCTATGTGTTATGTGCACCGTACACGCCGTTGTATGAATTGAACCTTCAGCGAACACCTTATTGTCAGCGAGCCGCGTGACTGCTTAATTGGAAGCTCAGTTATGGCTATGTACTATTGCTACACGGGTATATACTATATCTATAAGTATCTATCTATACATTATAGCTATATACTATAGCTCTAAACTTATAGCTATATACTTTAGCCTTTACCTTTCACCGAAACTTGAGGCACTCGTGTAATCATAGCTAAGCTGTTGGTGTTTCTCGTGTTTGCTAGTTATTGCGCACGAAAGGTAAATTATAGTTTCGGTTCCGCAATAAATGCATCAGCCCTCATGTATTCACGCCTTATTTCAATACATAAACAATTGTGCGGCGTGAAAATCGCCCTTGAATGCTTGAACGCTTGACCTTGGGTGCTTTAACATAAACGCTTGACCTTGAAATAGCGAAAATATAAAAATATTTATTATTATTATTTATACGAGAATAGGAATTTTTTCAGATGTTAGTTAGCATGTGCCAAGGGGAATATACTTTCTGCTTTTTCAACACGATTATTCGATAGGTCGGAGGTTTTAGGCTCCAAACAGATCATTAAGCATAAATCCACTTTGTGGAACTTTGTAATTATGCATTATCTAAGTGATTAAAATTTAATTTCCATTGCAAATTATATTAATTCCTATAATTCAACGAGTTTACTGTCAACGGAGAAAAACCACTTACTCGGTTGGTTATAATTTTCAGAAACATAATTTTAAATAGATATAATTTTCATACAAATAATGGGCGAATCAGAAATGCGTAGTGAAAATATTGCGTTTGTTGTACGCCTCTCTTGCGATGTTGTGCAAGCGCTCCGCGGTGGCGTCGTCGGCCTGGCACACGAGGCGCGAGAAGAGCGAGGCGCGGTCCTGCAGCAGCGAGTGCGGGGCGTCCAGCTCCTTGAGTGGTAAAGATCTTCTGTGAATTGTTGCTTCCAGACATGACGAGATTAAAGCTTAGGTACAGTTGAACAATATCATTCTGATTATCAAAATTTAATGTTATCGATATCGATATAAAAAATATGTAAGGCTCCTTGAGTGGTAAAGATCTTATGGGAATTGTTGCTTCCGGACATGACGAGATGAAAGCTTAGGTACAGTTGAGTAACATCGTTCTTATTATCAAAGTTTAATGTTATCGATATTGATATAAAAAATATTTAATGCTCCTGTCGTGGTAAAGATCTTATGTGAATTGTTGCTTCCGGACGTGACTAGATGAAAGCTTAGGTACAGTTGAGCAATATCATTCTGATTATTAAATTTAATGGTATAGATATCATCTGCAATTATTTATTCACAAAAAATTCAGTTTTATGCTGGAAAATTTGTTAGCTTGAATAAAGCCAGAAATAAAGTAATAACAGCAATTTGGCAAATTAAAATGAGAATCAGAGAATCGTATGTTGATTTCTTTACAAACTTTCGCGCTTTAGATAAATCATGATAAACGAAAAGTCATAGATTACTTCGTCTTTTAAGAACTTGATAAGTATTTTGTGCGTTTCGTACAAAAATGTTAATTTTGAAACAACTGATTTTCACAAATTCTGATCGTAAGTACAAATGAAAATTGAACTTGAAGATGTCCTAAGTAAGCAATATAGTTTTTAACCGAGTCAGTACTCTGTGAGTTAGGGCAGGAAACGAGATAAAGCATGGAGTTAACTTCTAAAAATATTCCAATGTTTAGAAGAATACAAATGTAAAAGAAATAAATTCCAAGTTTCATTCAATATTCGTACAGAAGAAGCAATTAAGTATCGGGAATGACAGCCGACTGAAGAATCCTGCATTAAGTAGGACTATATTGGTCTGTTGAAAGAGAAGGTTAATGAACTTAAGAATCACAAAGTATCTATGATCATTATTGAGCATAGGCAGACAATATATGTAACGAACTTTACATGGCACATCTTTGTTGAGTTGGTGAGCTCTGTAGACTCAGCAGATATTCATGGGCTATTTGCAAATTTTTGGACATTCATAGTAACATAAGTTTTTTTGATCTCATTTCAGTGTGAGTGATCTCTGTTGAGTAGACTGCTCAGCAGCTTCATAATTGTGATGAGTGGACAAACAACGCACACATGCATTATTTTCAGGATGAAAATTTCCCCTCCTTAACAATTCGCACTCAATACAGGACAAGTGAGCAATCTGGAAAAAAAGAATATTTTTCTAGATTGCACACTTGTCCGATATAAAGTGCACGGTATTTTCAGTGTTATAGTGTCATTTACCTTATCGTAAGATGTACTTGTAGTAAACCTATAGCATCATCCTAAGTATTTCTTGAAAATTATTAATTCAGAAAGAAGGTTACTTATGTAATTAGCTTTCGTAAATATTTAAGAATTTCTCCTTCTAGTATAAACGCGATATGAAAAAACAAACTAGGAGAGATATCTGCTGGCAACCTTTGGTTATCTCCTGTCCTAAACTATCTTGGGATTCATTTTGAGGCTGTCGTTTAATATACGAAGGCGCTCCAAACAACGTTTTGAAGCGTTAATGTTACGTCGAAGGTTTACCCTCTGATCTATACGTTTGATATCTTACCTTGACTTCTCCGTCACTAAGCACCATCACTCTTGTGCTGTCCATGACAGTGTGGAGTCTGTGGGCCACTGTCAGCACCGTGCATTGCTCAAACTTCTCGCGGATTGTACGCTGAATCAGCTCGTCGGCCCTGCATAATATCGAAGTTTTTAGTCACAATGATTTGGAATCATGCCAAAGCGATCAAAGAGAAACAGCTCACTAAATACAATACGCGAGTATTGAATACAATATACATTCTCAAACAATCTTCGACAGTGCGTGGCATCTCTGACATTGCGTGGCATCTCTAAACAAAACCCTATCTTTTGAAGCTTTCTATATGAATCATGAGGCATTCATCACTATAGATCTGAAAAATTTTCTATCGCAGTGAAAGTGATAAGCACGGCTTCAGGCGGCAAGCACTTGCCAGCCATATTTTATGAAATTCATGCCGAAAAAGTGTAAAAAAAGGAATTGAATGAATGAATGAAAGAGTAATATTCGTAACATGCATCTATGACAAATACGAACATTTATGAATGCTGCACGTAAGGTTCAGTTAATTGAACACACCCTGTTTGAGTGTCAACTTTCGATACCCAATTACTACAATTAAAAGTTATACTGAAATAAATTTTGTCAAGCTTTTGAGTTAGTTTGTTAACAAACGGTAATTGTTAGTTAAGGTTCCCTTACAGGAGAACTTTTTGTGTTCGATACCAGGGCTTCATTTAAACGAATGATTTTTCACGCCGGTAAGCAAACCAAAGAAAAGAATTTGACAAAAAAAAATTAAACCAAATTTTATCAAAATAAATCTCTCCAATTGAATATTTAATTAGAACAGATGCTGAATTGTATTTGTAGTGACTCATCTTGAAGATGAAACAATACAAACTTCGGAATTAAATACACAGTGAAGCGCAAAATTTAGAATAAACAAATAAAATAATAATAAACTTGAGATTTACGCCTCTCAAAAGAGTATTCCAAAACATTGTTATAGACATGACGAGGAGTTATATGCTGCATTAAAGTGTAAACTTTTTCTTACTAAATATGGAAATTGTTTGCCGTGAAAACGAAGCAAACATTGAATGAGAAAGCTCATGAATAAGATGATTTCAGAGAATAAATCCATATGTTTTTATAAGAGACATCCCAGAAAAAATATGTCTTCTGCACCTGCAGCCAAATTAAGCCCGTCTCAATGGCACGACGATAAGGACTAAAACTACTGATCTGCTATTTCAGTGCCTCAATTCCTTGATGAAATCGTGAAATAAACACAATCGTCCGCATTTATTCCTCCAATCGTCCGCTAGCGGAACAGTGTCAGATGACGCAATTTTTAGTTCTCAACAACGAAACATAGAGATATTGTTGAAAAAATATTTTTCAATTTCATTTTGATACTTGTGAGGTGGGAGTTTCAGATTCGAGCCTCACATAGCTGTCATGATTTTCCTATGCCTAAAATCATCGTCTTAAGAGGCTGGGCCAAATCTTCATAGCTAGTGGAACTCTGAGGCGACTATTCCTATACCATCTCTGAGTGCCACTAAACCTACATGGAATCTACGTTGGCGGTTGCCTCATCGATGAGCAGGATGCGGTTGTGCGAGAGGATGGCTCTAGCCAGACACACGAGCTGCCGCTGCCCCGCACTCAGGTTGCTGCCGCCCTCCTCCACAGTGTGATCCAGGCCGTCGGGGCTCGCCCGCACCGCCTCCTTCATTTGCACCTTCACACGTCAAATAAAAGTTATGCATAAATATAGTAATTAAACTTGGCACACTAGCTGCCGCTGCCCCGCACTCAGGTTGCTGCCGCCCTCCTCCACAGTGTGATCCAGACCGTCGGGGCTCGCCCGCACCGCCTCCTTCATTTGCACCTTCACACATTAAATAAAAGTTATGCATAAATATAGTAGTTAAACTTGAGGTTCTTGAAAAATATAGAACGATCTTGAGCACTGCTTCTAATTTTTAGAGACTTATTAGATATCCTGAACTTAGAAAATTAACCACAAGCACTTAAGCGAATAGTAGAATGACATGGAATTTATGGTGCAGTTCTAATATTACCAAATTGACATTTTTTTTATTAATTCGTAAAGCAATCGTTTTTTTGGGAAACATGACCTTCACACTGGAAGTTAGGGTGGCATCTTAAAATATGTTTGATTGTCACTAGATATAAGTAAATACACTAAATACCACCATTGATCATTGTGAATAAATGTATATAATGATATCAGGAAACTTTTAAACAGAGAGCGTTTCGGAAGCGATAGTTCTGCAATAAAACCTATGTTGCATTTCAAATGCCGAAGTTAGTTGAACAAAGAACAAATAACTCGACTCGATCACCATACATCGTGAAGTGCATTCCACAGTTGCTCATCTGCATGCTTGTTGAACGGGTCCAAGTTCATACGAAGAGAGCCATTGAATAGAACTGGGTCCTGAAATAAAAATATTCGTCTATAAGCAACAGTCTCTAAATTATCATTATTAAATTTTATCAATCGTGTTATTTTTTGAACTGAGTAATCGAAGTCATGACCGTAATGATGGAAATTTAGGAAGATATGAGAAATTTGAGGAATGGTTGGAATAAAAAGACATTTATTTTCCACGAAATAAAATTTACATATCAAGCTAAAGACTAAAATAATACTTTTACTGATTGTGAAAACAACGAAGATTATACATTAACTAATATTCTTCTATCGAAAACCTATTACAACAACGAAAAAATCCTGGCAATTCCCAAATGTCCCACTTGAGGGATGATGGAAATGTTCTTGCGGAGAGTGTGCAGTCCGAGCTTGCCGATGTCCACGCCGTCGATGTTGATCTGTCCGGTGGGTTCCGTCAAGCGCAACAAGCACGACATGAGCGATGACTTACCCGCCCCTGTACGGCCCACGATGCCGATCTGAAATAAACATCGCCGGTTATTTTGACGTCCGAGCGTCACCAGGAGGATTTGAAAAGGGCAATTAAGTTTAGAATACGAGACTCTTTAGTTTTGAACGAGGCACTTGCGATTGGTTATGAACTGTTGGTTTTAAGTAAAATTACGAAGCAATGGATGATGCTAAACTCAAATGCTATTTCAGGTAACTGAAAAATGTAGATTAGCTGACATTTGGGATTATTAAACTAAATTCAAGTGAAAATAAATTTATGTCGTCACAATGTAAATGAGCCCACGTCACAGTAATCGTGATGGTTGACGATTTCATTAAATTAACACATTATATAATGTGGATTGAAAGTAAACATTGGAGTAGCTTATATAATGTTGTCGGGGACAATGAATAAATTTGTAAATGAAATTTTAAAGTAGCACGTGATATGTAATCCCGAGCTGACATTCTCATTTAAAATTTATTCACAAGATACGTAGAGATGACGTACTTTTTCCCCTTGAGTTATATGGAATGAGACGTTCTTCAGCACCAGCGGCTGCTGCTCCTCGTAGCGAAGGCTCACGTTCCTGAACTCAATCTCTCCAGTGCTTGGCCACCCTGGCTGTATGTTTTGGTCTGAAAGCAAGATCAAATTTTGATAGGAAATTTCACAATATAATGATAAAAATTGTAAAGATGAGCGCTTTAGAGAAGTTTGCAACATAGCATCCAATATTTCAAGAGAATAATAGAAAATATTGTCAACCTATCTAGAATATAAGTGTTTCTTCAATTAAGTTGGTCATATATGCGTTCCCTTACTAAGAATTAATAAATAAATTACAAACATGTTCTATTCTCTCATTATTATTAATTTTTGTTATACGCACAATTTTCGACTTGCATGATACACTTTATTAACTTATGTAACAGACTTTGCCCACGAGACTCGGCTTATTGGCTCATTCCAGGTATTTAATAAATAGTGCGCTAATAAAAATTTTACTTACCGCAAATAGATAACAAAAATTCCTCACTGCAGGATTTTTTTATAATTTGAAAGCAATGAGTCCTTAAGGTCGCAAAGAGAAAGTCTCTTTAAGTGAACTGCGACCACCATTAATTCAAGATTGGGCTTTTTACTCAGGAAAGAAGCAGGTAAATTAACGCCCATGATAATTTTTCTAGCTCGGTCGGACTCAGCTGCTGAACCATGTCAAGTACTGGATTAAGTTTATCACAGTAGCACCTCTGTTTATAATTCGTCATCGTCAAACTCCATCACCCTCTCTCTGAAGACTTTTGCTCCACTTTATAATCTACCTTCATCCATGATCAGTGAGGCCTCTGGCTGCAGTTCACTAAGCGCCATTACCCGCTCCACAGAGGTCATTTGGTTCTCCACCTCGGCTGACTGCCGAACGCCCCACTGAAGGGTGTTGGTGAGCATCAGTGCGCAGTAGATGGCCAGTCCAACATCACCACTGCGGTGGCCTGTTTGTCGCAGTAAAGATCAATAGAAAAATAAAAATAAAGCTCTTGTTCCCATGTTATAGTTGAATGTAATTCAACTCTCTTTGTGCTGTGTTGGAACTTCCAACCTGGATTTTGCAGTTACCAACCGCAAGTACGTGTTACTAGGAACTATTGATAAGACTTTTTTGTCGGGTATGTGCCATACCAGTGATCAATAAGGTACACCAGCATCGAGTGATAGTTTGCATAACGTATTCAGCTGCAGCTACCAAAATACCTTCACTAGAGGTGCCAATTCAAGTTTTCCGTAAGCAGTTGGCAACATTAAGATAAATAAAAATTCACCTCACTACCTCCTTCACTTCTTAATCATCATTACCGTTACACTTTTCATCCCGCTCTATAACACCAAAAATATGTAACATCTTAAAATAACTAAGCAAATGAATATGAATACTCGTATAATCAAAGAACGAAACGTCGGGATACAGAGAGCGTGCATTCTTCGTTTCATAAGATTTGCTCACGAAGTCGCATCTTCGTTAAAATTATTAAAAGGACAAGTATTTCTTTTGTCCACTTTATTCATATAGATTTAGAAGATTTCTTTAATTTAGAACATAATCTGCAAAGAAATTAATCATAATTGCTCCACACACTAACTTTGATCAGCGAGACATGTGATGATGACGCAAGCGACGAAGAAGGACGAGAGGCCATCAAGCGCCAGTCCGTACCATTGCGTCGTCGCTGCACTCGTTGACCACGAAGACGTGTGTAAATCCTGCACATCCCAAATATTTTCTTGTCATTACTGTCAATCATTGCTACTTGCAGCGAGGAATTTGTTAGATTCGTTTCAACAATTCATAAGGTTAAATATAAAAAAAAATGTATTAATAAATGCATCGAATCTGATTATAAACGATGAAAGTATGAAATTTGTAATTTTGAACTTGAAGCAATGCTTACTCATCCCGATTGGGTAAACTACACAAATGTAACCCGTTGTGTTGTGGCCACATGAGAGCCCATCAAGTTTTACGTTCAATAGCTAAATGTTGCTTTCCCAGTCTATATCGATTGATGAAAATTTTGTTAACTGATCCAGTCGTTTGCCTCAAATTTGAGCTCGAGGGGCGACGCAACGCTCCATTAATTCGATCTAATTTGGGTGGTCTTCGTGACAGCAACGTGTAGCTAGTTTCAGGATCGAACTTACTTCTACCTCGATTTAGTGTGCTTTTTTAGCAAGTTAAATGCTTCATTATTCTATATTTTATAATCGGCGTTGATCAATATTGAGTCTTATCTATTTAAATGTTGAAATCTTCAGTTTATTATCATGATTATAGAGTCAAAATATATACATGTAAAGCTTCGCAGTCGTTGATATCCCGCAATCACACCTGAATGTCATCGAAGCCTTTGATGAAGGAGCGCTGGGTGCGGGAGGCCCTGATTGTGGTCAAGCCATCCAGTGATGTGCCCAGGTGTGTGAACACTGGGCTGCGCGCTGCGGAAAAATTCCTTTTGTCAGTTGACAAAAAACTGGTTAAAGGACTAGGCATAATTTATTTGTCAGTTGACAAAAAAATTGGCAAACTGTGCGCTGCGGCAAAATTCTCATTGATATTTTTTAGCTACAGTTTATCCTCAATAATTATCATTCCAGGCATGATGTAACAATAATAATGAATGTTTAGTGATAACAAGCAGTCGTTTGTCCCATTTAAACTTCTGTCTCGTTGAGCACTTCTGTGATCTATACTGACGGTTGTTACTATAGGTTTAGAGTTTGGAATTTATAACCCCAGCCTCAGTTCGAGTTTTCGTTTAGAAATAAATTCTTACTATATTATAGAAAAGCGCTAATAAAGTAGGCATGTGACATCATATGTGACCAGTTGGATTTATTGATAAGAATGAGTGCATTTTCATTAAAAAGAGACGGCAAATTTTTGTATTCGTAACGTAATATTCAACGAAACATAAAAAGGAAGAAAAAAATTTCCAATTGATTAAAAACAGCCTGAATGTAAATTAAGTTATGTGTGAGCGAGCTGATATCGGCTGCCATGGATGTCCTTTAGCAATGTATCAACAGGCTTCACTTAGAGTCTTAAATATCAAAATTCGGTGGATCATCATCAGGGCCATCACCAATTAACCGCTGTAACTTAAGAGCAGAAACAGAATGAGTGATTCTCGTTTATATTTTTAAAAGTAAAATTAATTTTATTTAGAACCGGAAAAGGATTATATTATAAGCAAAGAGAAATGGGTTGGATATATAATATTGTGTTAAAATTGAAGTACGAATAAGTAGATCAGAGGAAAAAAATGATTTATATAGAAAGATTTTTTATCAAAACCAGGCTGAAGTCTCACTAATTGCTTCAAGTCTCTTGATGTCCCGTGCGGAGCGTAAATAAAGGAGTCGCAAGAAGCTGAGGACGACACTTAATACGACGGTTGGGATGAGCATGTAGGGGTTGATGAACGCAATCATCGCAATAATTCCCACCGTGTTCAATGAGATCTGGCGAGAAAGACGGACATTGATACTGTATATGTTTCGTGTCGTTATTTAAGTTTAATTAATCATCCCACTAACCTGCAGGAGGCACTCCCAAATTAAAATAAAATCGGAAGCATTAATGGTCCTTCAAGAATTTTGTCAATATATTTCCGTCAGCAAGAAGCTAAAATTTTCTGAATATCAACGAAAAACCAGTTACATTCATAAGATCACAAGGATGAAACTTGCATTCGCAAAACTACTAATGGGTTTAACAGTGCACACAACAATAACATGCATTAATTACAATAATGACCTTCTTCTCGCACTTAAGAGAGAGTCACTTTTACACCACTGAGACGCGCGAGAGACTATATAGTCTTTCTCGAGCGTTGGACAAAGTGAAAAATTTATTAGATATATTAGGTAATTTTGTGAACAGCCACTTATGTAACTTAATAGTTGTGATGTTAATTATTTCGCTTCTTATTGGAAATCGAGAATTTTTTCACTATGTAATTTATATGTAAATTTTTGGGGCCCTTTTGCATGCAAATGATTTTCACACCGATGCGCGCGCTGGTTATAACCACATAATCTATTATGTAACTAACCAAATCCTAAACAATTATAGCTCTCATGCTGCGATATTAAAGCGACAGAAATATTGTGTCTTTTCTTGGTAAAAGATATGTACATAAACACAGGATTTATGGCTATGGTAAATTGTACGTTTTAAAATTTCTCTCAAATTTCAACAAAAATATGAGGAAAACTTTCAATCACATGAAGTGTGAAGTGACTAAATACTGGGATTTATCTGAGTAAACGGTTAAAAGTACTTCCTTTAAACTGACGATATACACATCACTATTGCCTCGTACTATCTATTTTGAGTAAGCATGAGCAAATTTCTCCTCTGTCATATATATACAAATGAATTCAAATATCAAATTTTTATTCACATCCATATCGAACATGATAAAACTTCTTTAAACGTTTTGTTGATCCAAACGCATACCCTTAAAATATCTACCCAATATTGCCGTGCAATCCAGCTAGTGGGGCACTCATTGAACAAGCTCCACGTTACGAAGAAGAGGTTATAAAATCCACGCCTGTGATGGTGCCATTTATCTTAACCTAAGAATCATTGTACGATTAGCAGATCGGAAAAACCGTAAAGTTCCAGTCCGATTGTAATATTTCAACTCAAGCATAATAAACAAATGCAGGTTTCCCTTTTGATATTAAAGTTTGAAATAACCTGCTTTTACAAAATTCTGGTGCCGCTTTGGCTTCTGCCCAAGAGTCGCTACACGTACTCGTCTTGATCATGGTCATCCTCTACGTTCTCCGGTGTTTCAATGTCTGGCGTTAGACTCGACAAATCATCAATACTCCACTTATAATCTACCAGATCCACCATCGATCCATCACTTTTAAAATTTTTAGTTACAGATTTCCAAAATTGTGTTCTAAAATTGTGAATTCACTTCCAGAAAATTGTGCTGTAGGTGTTAAACAGAATTGAAGTTACCTCAACATGTGACAGGAAATTGTGAATTGTGCTCTTTTCCATTTGTCTTATATCGTATGACAAAATTATTCAATCGTGTTTTTTTTTTGTCTCAGAAGTAAATTGACTTCAGGTCGTGCATTCGGGGTTTCTTCTTTATGTATGATTGTGTGCTTCAATAAATATCGTGCTCTTTTTAATACTTAAGTCTCTCTGATACGAAGACTTTAAAAAAAGTTTAAGCCATATGAGTGGCTTGAAGTAATTTCGTTTATTATATAATTCTAGTCTTGTTTGGTCAGTAGATAGACTGAGTAGAGGGTATTTATAATTTTGAGACTTCGAATCCATTCCTGACTATTGAGATTTAGCCTTATCAAAAATGAGTAGCAAGAGATGAGGTGAATTTATAAATTGCAATGCAGAGCTAAAATCAGGTATTTTGACTTTGGTCCTCATTAAATTATTATGAAAGAAACTCACTGTCAAAAAATCCCACAAGCACATTGGCAGCAGGTCGTCAATTTGCCCCATGTCCTTGGAGAAGCAGTTCAGCACCTCGCCTGTAATATCAACGTGAAAGCTGGTATTGAAACATGACGATGAAAATATTATATAGCTATATAATATATATTATACATTATATAGCCATCATTTGAATTCGTTACATAGATAAACCTGCGTACATCAAGTAAATGGTAGAAAATTCGCACGCTTTACGAACATCGGGTGTAAAATTTTATCCTTCCGGATAACAGTTGAAAGAAAAAGTTTACATAATTTATCTTAATGTCTGCAAATTTAAAAACATTAGTCGAGATAGCATTCCAAATTTCAGACTTGTATCTTATACATGAGGGGAGTTATTGGACCGATTCATAGTTAAGAATCTCCATATATAGGCAACTATATATCGCCGCAGAGCGCCTTGATGCATAGATGCGCCTTGATGCGCATTTTCTCTGCATTTAGTTATGAGGGAAGGTCAATTTGAATAACTAAATGCTGATAATAATGAATTTCTCAAGAGAAACTAATTCAAATGTGCGGTGAAGTAAAAGCTCACTGCTGAATAACTACTGATACTGCTACAAACTTTGTTGTTACCCATGTGAAAAACTGTGATCAATCAGTTGTCTGGTGAATTTTGTCTCGATCTTTTTCTTTATAGGATGAAGACCCGAAACAGATTCGAGTAATTTATATTTTACTAGAATACATAATACAAAAATTTTTTAGTTCGTAAAGAATTATTTTCTATCGCTATGCGAGACGCAAAGTATTAAACATTGTTAACTACATGTTGAGACTGATGCAGTTGTATTAAATACAGATACCAATAGGATGAGTATCGAAGTATCTCATGGGCGCGCGCATGACCGCTTGAAACATGTTGTCATGTAGGCGTCGTGACGACACACAGCACATCATGAAGAATAACACTGTCCGTCCCAGAGACAGAATGAGCACGCCACCCACAAGTGCTGCTCAGCAAACATGACTTGTTAAGTAATTCTACATTATTATATGTTTTGTGACGAGTGCATAATACAATTATACTGGAGTAATTGTCCTAGCGTTTGCTCGATAAGCTAGAAAATCCATACATATTCACGTAAAAATGACAAGAAATAAATTATATGTCGGTTTATCTCAAAGTTAACAAACTACGTACTCACCGCCGTATATGTTTACAAAATTCATTGACGTAAACGTGTCGACATTTTCTAAACTTTCTCCTGTTTCGTTCGCCACGTTCAGGACCTTCATTTTGTCCCGGCTCGTTTCCTCTTGAATTTTGTTGGTCCTGAACTCAAAAAGTTTTTATAAATTAAACATTTGTGCTCTCATAAAAGTAGGTTCATCACAGACAATTGAACACGAATATTCGTGTTACGTTACCATCGTTCCTCTAATGGCTTTACGCCATCAAACCTTATAACGTACAACTTTGGTCATAATTCCCATAGACGTCACCCGTATTAATCAAAGCGACTAATTACCAAGTGGAGTTCGTAAAAATTTCCAAATATATTTCTATATCAAACGATAGCGCTTACAGCTTGCTTGTGAATTATTGTTTTTCAAAATTATTATTGTTTTCAAAACTGCACAATTTTCGCACAGTTGAGAACAATGCAGAACATAATTTTTCACAAAGACTCATTTGGGAAACTGATGGCTAACTCCAGATTTTAGGAGCTGAATTTCGTGGGATTCAAGCAAAAGAAATTATGGGAGTGCTTATTTCTATATTACCTTCTTTTGCCAGGTGAAATATTTCGATTGGACGATTGTTATTTATTTTATGTGTTCAATATTCCACGTAATTACTTGTCGTAATCAAATTTTCGTTGAGCAATGCCTAAATGAACTAAATACTTGGCTTTAACATATTTTGTGTCGGGTTATGAATTTCATTCGAGTTCTAACGAAAAATTCGTGGCGTTGAAAGGCCAGTTCAAAAAGTTATGCATAATGACAGGGAAAATATCCCGCAAGGAAAGAGATACCGCTGATAGATACCGTCCTCCTAACAGCCTCTTATATAGAGCGAGTCAAACGATTTGAAATGCTCCAAAGATTTTGGCAAATCAAAAATAATGAAAAGCTGTGGATGGTTGATTTAGGTTTACGACAGCTAATTTCATGAAAATGGTTGGCAAAAATAGCTGTACAGGGAAATTTTATCGAAAAGCTGAATTTTTCACGTGCGTTTCCGCAGATTGTGATTCCGCGGAAAGTTAATAATTATATAAGTAACTCAAAACACAATCAGATGTGATCTACAAACACGCACAGACCTTATGAAATAAATAGTTCACATAGAATATCGCAATAACATTAGTTAAGAAGCATTAGAGTATTCAGAGCACAAACCAATAAACAAACATGGCATTGAATTTAGGAGGTTATTAAATTAGTCCCGGAAATATAACCAGTGAAATAGGATAAATAATTCGATTTTTAATAATCGATGGCTCACCATAGCGCGAGCCAAAAGTCTGATCCAGAGAACGCCAATTGAGTGACGATGTTTAATGAGATAAGTAGCAGGATGCATGCCCAGGATCCTCCTCTGAGGAAGTATTGCAGGTACACAGCAGACGAGACGGAGCCTCCCGCACGCTGCTCCTCCGGTCGCGGAATGACGCGCAGCGCTTCAACAAAACTTTGGCGTCGTCCCTGCGTCGGATAATCCATGGTTGAATTGGGATAATCAAAATACGATAATCAACCACGGGATATTCAACACGTTAATTTCTACAAGAATTTGTGGCATTTACTGTCGATTTTTGTTCAGTCAAATCCTGTGAGACTTGATCTTATAACCGCGAATGTGCATGGTAATCCTTTTACTTCAAAAATATCAGAGATATATTAGCATCTAAGTACTATATCCTGTTACACTTGATGCCTTTGTGTTTACGTGAACACAATCTTCCCTTAAGGGGATGGATCTTATATAATGCAGCTGCAAAACCTTGCATTGATTTGTTTTATATGCGTTCGATATATCAACATGTAAGTTAATGATTATTTTGATATACAGCTGAACATTTTTATTATATATAATATCTTGTAAGCAAAAAATATAAGTTGATGAACTTTAAATTTAACGCTTGGTTAATTCCTAACAAATATGAATTTAGCAGTAGTTTGTACTAGCGATCTTTAGTTCAGTGACTCCAGATCGAGTGTCTCAATGCTGATCGATCAACTTCACTAGCTTAGAATTAATTTAGCCGTACCCGTAGCACATTGTACTCCAGCACATTGTATTCAACACGTAGAACATTGTATTAAACAACTGTACGCGTTGTTTCAGTAGGTGTTGCAGGATGACAGGTCTACAATACGAATGCAAATTTTGATAACAATAAAAAGCAATCACAAATTTTTTACCACACTAGACCGGTTGTAATATACCATTGAATAAACATTGCAGACAACATCGTTGTGAATTAGTGAATCAAGTACATAATCATCAGTTCTCCTAATAAAATGCAACAAATGAAGTGCACTTTTTTCCATTGAGTACATATGCACGCGAGACAATGAAACCATTTTGGCATTACAGGGATTACAATGTTTATCGTAAATGTCAATGAAAATCTTGATAAAAAGGTCCGTTAGATGGTAAATTACCGTTTAAATAATTCGGCGAACGGGAAATCGAGACCCAGCACACGACAATCGAATTTGGTTGCATTTATACTGTTTCAAGTATTTCAATATATGAAATAATTGGGCTTGAGTTTGCCTTGAGATTGTTATAAGTTCTGTTTAGATTCCGTTTTACTTGATTTCCGCACGTTACTTTTGCTCATTTAGGTAGCTAAATCATACATGGAAAGGCAGCAAGATTCAAATTTAACCACAGCTTCTTCTTGGATAATCCTCTGAAAAATTAGGATAAATATTTGACATTTCATTAAAACTAATGATCTGCCTGAACTATTAGAATAGGGAAGATTATTCTCTTAAGAGATGGTTCATAAATTTAAATTTTCATCCATCAAGGAACCGTCTATTTATATTCTCTATCTAAATATGGATCACCTGGTAACTTTCCGAAAACTTCCGAGAGCCTTTACGAGAAACATTCCACTTGGTTTTGTCTGTGCTGCCAGGACTCGTCACGCTGCCATACTGAGAAGCATTCGACAGGCCTGCAAGCAAAGTCGCTGTTGACCCCCATCTTGAAATTTTCATACCAGCAAAAAATTAATGATAGCTAATTATTATCTTAAGGTAGATAAAGCTAGGGAAAATATATGTTCAGACTCGAAATGCCTAGCACCATATCGAACCCGGTGGAAGTCTTGTAGCCACTTCAAACTATCGTCAGTTTGGAAAGATCCGGTCAAAGGACATGTATTTAGATCTCATGTGGACAAGTCACGACAAGTACAGGAATCGGCGACAGGCCACATAAGGCCCATTCTTCAGCGCCGACATCACTATCCTATGTTATGTTATGTTAAAACAAATTTTTGCTCAGAAGTTTTCTATTCAGCCATATAACAATTAAACTGCACCTGTAGGGCGTACAGTAAGCGCTTATTACCAAAACTGAAGTTAGGGTGTATCATTGGCCGTCGTTTCGATGTTTTTGTTTGTTACTGATTATGATTAGTCACAGATGAAAGAAGGGAGGTGGAATAAAAATATTAATTGTAATGTTATTTTTGATTGGGTTTAAGATATTTTTTTATAGAGTCTGTAGGATAGCGTGTACGAGGGATAATCTGCCGAAAACGACGATACTATCATCATCAAATGATGATATTATCATCACAGTGAGAGTGATGGTAGCGATTGTGGTGATATACTGGTAGGGTAAGTTTATGTTGGCTGAGATCTGAGATTTATTTTATTTTTTGTAAAGTTTGTTGGAGCTTCGGGTTTCTGGCTTTCAGCTAAGATCTGAACGTAAAATTTTATTTTTAAAAAATTTTAACTTGTTCACTTATGTGCACTGGTTATCGTCTATGAATAATCAGAAATTTTTGGATACTGACGGGGGATGATTTTAGACTTAGACGTGCCGGATTTTGTTAGCCATTCGTTTTCAAACGCGCTTTCTGTGTTAAGACGTGTTTCATAGTAGCGCTCGTAGGTGCTCGGGTATCAAAATGTAGTTAGTTGCGCTATGTCAGCTGCAAATGCTAGGTATTCAATGTAGGGTAATGGTGATGGCCGGGATGTCGTGGGGAATAAAGGCTGTATAGATTATGAGTGGAGGCAATCCTTTAAAGGACAACAGGGTGTAGTTAGCATTGAGAGCAACTGCACGTAATTGCCTAATCTGTCGGTTAAATAGTATGATATTATGTCAGTTAGATGATCTGCAAGCATTTTCGTACAGAACAGATGGAACTTTAAATGTTTATTTGGCAATAATAAGTTCTGGTGTGCTAAACCCTGTCGTAGGCATTGGCCACATTAAGTACTACGTTCACCGAACTTTAACGATGACAATAAAAACGCAAAATAATTATTAAATATCTAAATCCAGAAATTAACTGCTGAAATGCTATTCTTGGCCTTCATGACTAGTAATTTATATCACTAAAATTATTGTCGCAAGTAGAACAAATTAGTTTAATCTTTCATGCGTACCTTTCTTCAAGCAATTGACAGGTGGAAGAAATGATGACACTGTAGAAGGTGCGTGACTTAGCGGCGTCGATTGATCGTCAGCGTCGAGCATCATCTCGATCCCGATGTTACTGTTCCTCAGTTGTTTGTATGTACCAAAAAACGCACATTTTCCCTGTGTATACAGAAACATCTCAAACCCATCCTTATGTCCCTTCACAATGCCCATAAAATACGTAGCGAATTGTATTTTAACGATATAATTCTATAAGGTAAGGTTGCCGCATAACTTTTATATAATATTTTTTCTGATGCATGCAATACTTTAGAAATACGTGAAAATTTTTAATAAAAAATTCAAATAGACTATTGAGTAAATAGCAAGCATAGATGTGTCAAGTCAACTTGAAATAATAATTAACTTTATTCTTGATATTTCATGATGAATGTGCCTAGAGATGAAACAAACATGCACTCAATGGCTTAACGATGTTTGAAGCGCTGTAAACCCTTTTATATAACTCAACGGTGAATGTATGTACGTTTTTGTTACTCTCTGATTTTGTCTCACCTCGAGCAGCACGAGGATGTTGTGGGCGGCGCTGATGTACTGCAGCTGGTGGGCTCCGTCTCACCTCGAGCAGCATCACGAGGATGTTGTGGGCGGCGCTGATGTACTGCAGCTGGTGGGTGACGAGGATGACAGCTTTACGACGCAGGTATCCGCGGATGCAGAGGTCGAACAGCTGCTTGCCCACAGCCGCGTCTACCGCGCTCAACGGATCGTCCAGCAACACAACATCGCCATCCTGGTACAGCGCTCTTTGCCAGAAAAGAAAAGTGCGTTTTAGTGCAACCAGTTTAAATTAACTTCCTCACAACAGTCATCCAGTTTCACCTCACACAGCATTGTAACTTCACCGCCAATTAGAATTGATGTTATCAAGTTTATCCGTTTATTAGAAATGTTCTAGATGCAGATGAGTATGGTCTGTTCGAGTTTGACTCCAATTCTACATGAAAATTACGTACCGTGCTAAGCTGATGCGCGCTTTCTGACCACCGCTGAGTGTTGTGCCGCGCTCTCCAACGAATGTTAGGTCGCCATCGGCCAGCTGCTTGAGATCTGCATCTAGGCCGCAAACTGTTGGTGTTGCGTCAGATAACACTCTCATTGAAGTTTAGGAGTTATTCCCATAATTCGTTTAATTATGATAAACTTGATCAGGATTGATAAATATCAACTGGCTTTAAATATTTGAATATAAGTGAACTTTGCAAGACATTGAATTTTTTCATAAGTATCGTGCGACTTATGCATGTGTTATGTTCATTTTCACATTGCCAGCTCGGAAGCAGTTTAATATGTGCTAACGCCTCAAAATCCATCAAAATGTGATTGCTAGTTTACTTTATTCACTATCTCTATGGCTAATTTAGAAATTAAATTTCTTGAACACAGCTGCACCTCTTCGTAGTAATAATGGCGCTAAAAATGATTAGTCATAAAAAATTATCTCCCATTGAAGATCACACAAAAGATTACAAAATAAACAGTAGTATCAGAATAAATATGATCCTTTTCTCTCGGACAAGGAATAAAAATAAAACTTAAATGACACAGTCATCAATAAGAGTGAGTCGCAGTGAAAAATATACGTATCTAAATGCAATTCGTAGGATATATTTGGAGTCTACACTGTTACCGTACCTCGTAAGATTTCAGCGTATTTTTGAGGATTGTATTTTTCCCCAAAAAGGATATTTTGCCTGACGGAGTCAGAGAAAAGCCAGGGTTCTTGAGCGGCATAAGCGATCTTGCCGGAGACGTCAACGCTGCCATGCAGCTCCGTCAGCTCTCCCAGCAATGAGTGCAAGAGGGAACTCTGTACTCGTGGAATAATATTTGCATTTGTTTTAAGAGATTTTAATCAGCCTCATTTCGATTTTTGTCTGCTGGATTTGCTCTGTGTCTACACATCTTTGCACAATTAGGCAAGTGAGAATTAATTTAGCAAGTTTCAAAGTTTTATTCCAATAACGATGAAATGGAGATGAACCTTCCTACACGATGCTATAGGATGCGACGAAAAATATTTTCGAAAAATATTGCAGATGTTTGTGTAACATAATTTTCTGTTAAGATCATAAGGTAAATTTTTTAAATATAACTGTTGGTATCGTAAGTGACAAAATCTGTAAACAATAATTTGTAATGCACCGTCTCGGTCGCATCACTGAAATGAATTCAAATACTCTAATGCAATTCTGAAAGTTTACTAAATTGACCATATGCTTGGCTCATCCAATTACTCCTACATTTACCTTGCCAGAGCCAACGGGCCCAACGATCACCAGTAGCTCCCCGGCGTACACCGTCGCAGTAATATCACAGAGCGTCGGCCTGTTTCCTCCGTTCCACAAGGCTGTTAGGCCGCGGATCTCAGCACCATGCTGTCCATAATATAAATAGTTGCATTTACTTCTCGAGAAACAATTTTTCCATGAACCTTGAGCCAGATAAAAATCGTCCGAAAAGCTTACTCCTATCAAGTGACCTCAGTATTTTTTGTTAAAAAAGACACTTATGGTGAGTACGTTACAAAGTAAAAATATTACTGGATGATGTTCTATTTACATAAACTTACCTTATTACTCATTCGTGGGAAGTTTTCTGATAAGTTTTTTTGGGAAGTCTGAATTTCGGCCTGAGCGAAGAAATCCTGAGAGCAAAGATGGATGTCATTAATACCCGAAGTGAAAAACCGAAATGAAAATCAAAATGTTTGTTCTAAATCTTCCGCCTGAATTTATTTGATTGCTTTGAACGTGACAATTTTTTAGGAAATAGTCGAATATTGTAGCGAAAAACTAAAATACAAAATTATATTTCATGTTATGTTATATGTGATGGCATTCAATCCATGTTTGCACCCGACAGGACATGGATCAATCTTCCACATCTTATTGAGATTTTACTAAAGTACTTCTCATGCTCAAAGCTAATTCGTTTCATGTTGATTTATATATTTGAAACCATTTTTTAGACAATACGATGATTGCTTTTCATACTGAGATGAGAATTTTGAAAATTTATAGGATACCGTTTACACTGCGAAACATTCGCCCGAATTTAAATTCAGTTCAACGACTACTCGGTCTAATACATGTACGTGCATGACTTCATTTCCAAAAAATCAGCTCGTGCCGCGAAGATATGGCATTTAAAAGCGTGCTTCAGGGTGATTTTGTCCTTTTTCCCACTAAACTTGTTGAATCGAGTCATCAAGGGTCGTATGAGGACGACCAACGCAAGCAGCTAAACAGGACTTTGAATCCGTTTTGTGCGATTCGTATGACGACAAAAGAAGTGAAGAATACTGAGCCAAAAACTCAGTTGATTCGTAAGAGTTCTTTGTTTTCTCTAGCGTTTTTCAGCAAACTCTCAACGTTCTCTATTTCTTCGAACGAAGAAAATGTCATCTTTTAAATCAAGTTTGTTCATAAATGGAATTATTTTATTACATTTCTTGAGGAAAGACAGTAGAAATTGTAAAAAAATCGGACCAATTATTCAAAGGAGCAGAAGAACTACAGAGCCTCTTTTAAGAACTCCTGCTCAATTTGTATATATAGAACCTGTCACAATTAGCAACCGTTTACGAGCTTTCAGCAATAGCTCGGCGAGTGGGAAAAAATATCATTACCAGGAGCAATCCAGGATAAGTGAGCAGATGTACCATCGTCCAAATAAACATATTGCATGACACATTTGCTCATCTGAATGCCTAAAGTTACGAATTTATTGGCCATCACTGCTTCAACGTCAGTGATAGTGAGTGTTCCTCATTATTCCTCAGAAAAACTTCGAAAAAAATATTGCTAAAAATGAAAAAAAGAATTTGAAAGCCTTCTTTTTGTACGCTAGTTCGAAGTGAGAGTCAAAGGACGGTATATCTGATTTGAAAGTAGACCAACGAAAGATTTCCTCTGATGAGGGCAAGGCTAACGTTCGTAATCAGTTTTTCAGCAGTGTGTTCGCAGATGAGGACTTGAACAGTATTCCAGATATTGAGGAGCGCCCAGTCGGCTCGAAGTTAACATGTTTTGAAATACACGAAGAAGAGGTTCTCAAGCGCCTGGCAGCTCTAAATCCTAACAAGTCATGTGGACCAGACGGCTTCCATCCCAGATTGCTCAAAGAATTAGCAACCGTTCTGGCCGGCCCATTGATAATATTCTTTCAAAAACCTTGAACGAAGAAACTTTGCCGTCCGACTGGAAAGAAGCTCAAGTAACACCTTTGTTCAAAAAAGGTGACAAAAGCAGCCCCGGCAACTATCGCCCTGTCAGTCTGAAAAGTGTTGTTTGTAAGCTAATGGAATCTGTTGTGAGGGATAGGATTATCGATCACTTGACTGCTCACCATCTCATATCAGATTGACAACATGGTTTTATTGCCGGCAGATCCTGTTAGAGAATGTTCAAAGACGTGCAACAAGGATAATTCCAGGCTTGAAGGGCAAGTTTTATGAAGAAAGATTGAAGATTCTGAAGCTTCCAAGCCTCAGTTATCGACGTCTGCGTGGGGACCTCATTGAAGTATACAAGTATACTTATGGTTTATACAAGGTCCCGAAGGATTACTAGAATTTGAAACAAGAACCAATACCAGGAGCCACGGCTATAAACTAAAAAAAATGCGCTGCAACTTCTCAACGCGACAAAATTTCTTCTCGCTTCGAATCACCGACATGTGGAACAGCCTCCCCGATGACATCGTTGGCGCTCCAAGTATGAACGCGTTCAAGAACAGACTAGATGGAACAGACTAGCTATGGAAAAATATGTGTTCAGATTTGAAATGCCTAGCACCATAACGAACCGGTGGAAGTCTAGTAGCTAATTCAAACTATCGCCAGTCATGAAAAGATCCGGTCAAATGACACGAGTTTAGATCTATGAACAAGGCACGAAAAGGAAAAGAATCGGCGACAGGCCACATCAGGCCTACACTTCAGCGCTGACATCACTATGTTATGTTATGTTGTGTTATGTTATTATGTTGGGAATTATACCGTCGCCAGAGGAATACCAGTTCTAGATATTATCTCAAGAAAGCGCAAATTTAAGATGCAATCGATGCATGGAGTCTTGAGGTTTATGGTCCCAGGAATATATTAGTTTCCGGCTAAATTTTTTTACATAAAGTCCAAACGCGCAGGTCGGAAGCCAAGTGAAGATTCCAAGGACGCATACTGGGCGAGAAAAGACTTTTATAGAACCCATTAGGTGTCAGAACTGCGCTCATCATGTATTGAAAATCTCACAAACTAAGCTCGTTAATGATACTCACCTTATGGATCCCAATATATAAATGCACACACAAAGTGTTTCTATATAGGCGCGCCCCGGACGCGGGATGGCAGGTATGCATTTAAATGTTGCCACAATAATTGAAGTATTTAGTTTTCACTGCAGGTAAGATATTGAAAACTTTGGTATTCAAGATTTTAAGGATCAAACACTGGGCACTTATAAATAACCTTCCTATCAAAACAGATATTTACTGTGATTTAAGAGAGATTTGAGGTACTACTGTCAAGGAGTAATAGTTATCAAAATATTTATTCGCAGAGGTAGGATCATTATTATTATATTATATTATATTATATTATATTATATTATTTCATATCATATTATATTATATTAGAGGTCTTGATGTTTAATATGTAAACCTATATTTGCCTAAGCGTTCAATCACAAGTGAAAAAATTAAACACACCTAACCTAAATGATAACTAACCAAAGTTAGGCACAACCTAAATATGAAGGCTTGAAAACAATCTAAAAGACACTCTCGCGCCATATCCGCGCTTGAAATGCGATGAAACTTGTGTGTAAATAATTAAAAATCCTTGCTAGGCTTTATATTGCAGAGAGATCACTAATTTTTTTGGGTGTCACTATAGACGCAGGACCGCTTGAATAATTTATGTGATTACGAGACATGAAATTTCAATATAAGAGGCAACATATTAACCTGTTGAACAAGTTCTTGAAGAGATGAAACCTCAACCACGCAAATAAAATGTGATTCGAATCAAATCAACTAACACAAGTACTAGCTAGGAGTAATAGAAAACTTATTTTTTACCATTTAGGAAAAATGTTTAAATATTGTAAATAAATAAAAACCCTTATTATGAGTTTCCCATAGATGCATCTAAAACTTTCGGTAAACATCAAAAACTTCATTTAATGTGCTACTTGTCTTAAAATCTGGAAAAATTCCTATTTCTACTCGAGTCAAGGAAAATAAACAGTTATTCTAAATTTATTATCAGCACGCCGCAGAGAAGAATGTCGAAATTCGTAAAAAATAAACCGATAAATGGGTCTTTAAAATTAAAGGAGAACATCAGAGCAAAGATGGCCCAGGTGATTGGTCTGGAAATGGAATCCGTCTGTCGGAGCTGTCTGAGATTTTTTGCTCACATTGTAGAGTAAAAATAATGCGCTCATATGGTGGATTAAAAATACTGCGCTCATGTAGTGGAGTAAAAACACTGCGCTGATATAGCTGAGTAAAAAAACTGCGCTCATATAGTGGAGTAAAAATACGGCGCTCATATAGTGGAGTAAAAAAACTGCGCTCTCTACAGCAAGATGTTTTACGAGTCAAATCGTGCAGTTTATTTGTAGTAATAAATTTCAGAATCATCGCAGTTTCCTGAAGCTTTTCATTAATTATTCTTCGAAGTTGAAACTCGCCCAATTCTGCCACGAATTTTCTCATGCTAATCCCCTGACATTTATCAAATGAATCGTTACATTGAATAAGATTTGAAATTATCAGAATTACGTTGTCATCGCTACAAAGCCTATATTGCATCATCACCTGCAGTCTTTCGCACGACACCAGCGCTTCCGCCCCAAAAGATATCGCAGCCGGAAGGCAAAACGTCATCAATACCCCGACGCTGCTGATCAGAGAGCCTGTCACGAAAACCTGAGAAGAGAAAAAAAACGGGTTTGCAGAGCATTTTACGTATATTTTATATCAATAACTTTTGTTCACACTGCATCCAGTGCAAGTTGACTCTAATAACGAACACCGAAGATTTTACATGAAGCTCATAAATGTTCTTAATAAGCAAGGTTGTGCGCTGTTAGTAGTAAAAATCAAGCAAACTTAAATTGTCAAATCTAATAATATCATCATATTTTATTTTTAAGTAGTATACTTTCCGTAATACTGAAATCATTTTTCAATATTTAAGTTCAATATTTATATATTTTCATACATGAGATTTGCAGTAGTGTCTTAAATTTAATTCGTTTACTAAACTCACTTACTTCTCATATTGTTAATAATATTAGTTATGCGAAAAAAATCAATAGTTTAAATTTTTTACAAGCAGATACCGCCACCATCCAAACTAATATTGTGCGGAACCACGAGGAAGCTAAATACTTTTTCAGCGGTGACTAAGCTCCCAGTGAGCACGTAGGTTATGACTGTCAAACAGATCGCCAGCTTAGCAGAGCTGAAGAACAGGGCCTCGTTGACAGCTTTCAGGAGATTGCTGCTACGGATAACTCCGATTTCTTTTCTGTAAAAATCATTTCAACTTGGTGGTCGGTCTGTTCCTTGTCACTTAAATAAATTGAGTGCTCATGTAAGCGAATTTAGTTGCAAAAATCATTTGTTTATTCACTATGTCAAAATATTTAAAAATATATATTTAAACTTGCTTTCATTGTATAAAATAGTTCTATTTTTCAATAACTTAAGATTAAGTCTGATCCGTTTAGCAATGGACAACCTAAACTTGGATCAGGTTGCAAAGATCTGCAACACAATTTTAAATTTATACTCAATCTATTCGTGTAATTCGTATTACAGCGTAGATGGACTATTTACTGATGAAAATGAGGTAAATCCTACACGTTCGACTTCATCAATTCGCCCAGAATAGTTGAATGCTGACAAAAATTCAATTGCGAAAATCTTAATTAATAATAACATGGTGACGAATGAACCTAAGATTTCATGTACGCCCACAATAAAAAGTAAATAAATTACCACCTGATGCAATGTTTTTCGACTTTAGAGTTTCTATCATCTCTAGGGCTTGGAATCATCTTATCAAGCCGTACTGAATTAAATTTAATGATGATATAAGCACTCTAGAAATGCAAAAATTCTGACTTCTCTCAATGTAAGTCTCATGGAAGCATTTTTGGAGCATCACATCGCTACCTAGCCTCGGTCTCAACTTGTAAAACATAAATTCAGTTTAATACCAAATTATTATACAATTTGTAAGGCTTCTGAGAATTGGCCACATTGGCTGCTGAAGAACTTAAGATTATTAAGGAGGTACATACAGTGATAATCCGACCATTAAGGTACGAATTTTAGGGATGAATCCTGAATATCCTGCCAAAAGGTTTTGAATTGAGGTTATAATGGAATTTTTAGAGATAATTCATCTGATAAATTCACTTTGAAATACCGTTAATTTCTGATGAGAATTATTGACCTTATGTTGGATACCTCAGAGATTGAAGTGAACCTACTAAACATTCGATGCAACAAGGTGTGAGACAAAGTTTATGTTGATTACTCACTTCCTAGCCTCAGAAACGAGTGAGATGAAGCGATGCTCCCAAGCAAACATTTTGATGACCTTGATGGCGTTGATGATCACGTTCTGGATGCTCACGCGGTCGTCCGTGTGCTGCGCAATCATTTGACGCAGTCGCGCAAAGACACGCCCCATGTAGCCTAAGGTAGTCATGTACTTTCCCATGAAGCATCTTTGCTCGTGCAAAGTTGAATGTTGCTGGTAGAGGCAGGATTTAAACAGCTTCCTTGACGTAACCCAGCAAGTAATTGTCACATGGGGTGCGATCAGGTGATCTTGGTGGCCAAAAGGGCAGAGCCAGAACCTCATATATGCGTATGTGGGACGAGTTTGGCTCCCGTTTAGATGATAGCCGTGCAGCACAAGGGAGACATATCAAACATTGAAAAAATCCTTCAAAAATTATTTCGAAGGTTTTTTTCATTCTTGTATAAATTATTCATTTTTTATTTATACTTAAATCAATACGAATTTACTAAATTGGATCCATCATTTAGAATAAACCCGTATATATCTTATTATCCGACATTTATTTACTATAACCACGCCGGTGTTTCTAGTGTGTATTTATTTTTTATGTTTATTGTTCTCATTTCCTGGATAATTGCAACTTGTTTGTTCATTCACAGTTGAAACCAACGAAACGATCCTAGAATGGTCGAACTTCCTCTTTCACTTAGAGAACTCGACATGACAAGAGGTGGAAACTAATGCTGAACCGTTCTAAGTGACATCGTCTTTTCAGGAAGCCACTAAGATTAGAAATTAACGATCCATGCATCTGTTTATTTGATTATTATTACCGTGCATTCATTTTCCCTCATCGTAACAAATTCTGGTTATGTTCATGACCAATATAATACTCACACTGAAGAGGTATGAGGATGATGAGAAGAATTAATCCCGTCAATGCCGTTGGTCCAAACATGTGGGAGAGCACTACCATCACCAAGCATAACTGCACGCGAGCCAGAACGGAGATGGGAAAACTAAGAATATCCGTATGTTAAAGTGTTACTCTTGATTAAGTCATTATTTTCATCTTATGAAATTAGAAGCCATAAAGCCTGACGGTAGTGGAAAACAAGTCCATTGATTTTCAACTATGGTTGTGCTCTTTTATTGATTGGGATAACAATGGAGTAATGAGTCTTTAAGTAAAACTATTTAATGCCAACCTGCAATGGAGCAATCCATAAATAATCGAAAAAAATGAGAGCTGTATCGAATCTTTGCACGTCGTTGGAAAGGAGGTTCACTATTTTTCCTACAGTTGAGTTGGCAAGGGCGGACTGGCTCAGTCGCAACGACTGTAAATTAAATAAAAATATGTCAGTATAACTAACCGATAAATTATGGATATTATAATATTATTCAGTTTGAAGTTTGAAGAAAACATTATACTAGTAAAATTACCACTTAATATCACGAAATTCTTCGTTTTCAAATATTATTAAAATCAAATTATTACTATACATTTTTTGAAAGTTCAATGCGAAAATTATTTTACGAAAGTAAAATTAAAATATTCTCTTCTAACACGAAGCAATTGAACTAATTGTTGACAAATGTTGAGTTTTAGTTTTACGTTCGTGTTTTCGTCAAACCTCTCAGTACATACTGTTGCTTGGAGAGGTAATTTTATATCTTGATGATTATGTTGTAAAATTTCCGCAATAGTGATGGCCTTAATATTTCGTCTTCGATCAAAATGAATATATTTCAAGTGTCCTAGCTCTCAACTTATACGCAATTTGCATTCATCAAACTACGTGTTTCTAAAACTGACAAATAACTGATAAGTTTTATTTACACTGAAAATAATTGAACATCAAAAATTCATGCGTGACAAACAATAAAAACTCTCTCACAAATGCATAGATAAAATAACCTTATTGCAACACACACAATCTGAAACGGTATTGAAGACGTGAATTTTTCCGAAAGCAATGAGGCTAATAAACCATTTGGAACGATATTTTCTGTCTCTAAGCAATAAAATTACAAACTTTTCTGTAGATGAGACCACAACTGGCAATCCTCATCTTCATGCCAATATTGCGGACGTTAAAACTGTGGTAGTAAAAAGTGAAGAGGTAGAGGAGCGAGCAGAGGATGATACCTGTTCCGAACGCCCAGCCCTTCCACACTTCCTCGTAGCCCTGCACGCCGCCCAGGTGGCGGAGCAGCTGACCAAGTAACACCGGCTGCGCGATTCTGCGAGTTTTTTCGAAGAATCATTTAGGTTTACGGCAATTATTTTATTTTGCACTTGACCAAGGAACATTAATATACAACAAAATAAACGTAAACGATATTTTAGAACTCTTAAAACGATCCACACGTAGAGCATAATGCGCTAGCACTCCTGTAGCATAATGCATAATGATCACCAACTCCTGTATTTCTTCCTTATTTGTTTACTACAATAGATGATTATAAAGAATGGAGTAAAAAATAGAGATTTATAATAGAGTAGAATAGAATGGAGAAGAATTTTAGTAGAATAGAATGTTGAATAGTAGAGTAGAATGGAATGAATTAAAATAGAATTGAGACGAATATAATAGAAAATGAAAAATCGTAAATAATGTAATAGTGAGGTCATAGAATGTAATATAATTGGCGATGCATATTTATTAGAAACCATATTTCTTACTTAAAGATGCACTCAGCGAACGTTGCGCAGAGACCTGCTCTGAAACAGCTGCCACCAAAGTAGCGCATGAGAGCCCGCGCATACCGGGGTTTAGGTCTCGATGCCTCTACTTCCCAAAATCTGTGGCAGAACAGGTTATTCCAATATTGTTTCATCAGGTAGCGATTAAATCTATACAGATTCGTCTTGAAATACAGTGGTTGAATTAGCTTTTCCTTACCGACTTCCGCGTAATGTGTAAATCTTTGTACACTTTCTTTGCTGAAGTGAACATGATTTATTGGTCAAACGTTCCATACTATAAGCCCACAAATGTTCCCTGCACCTATTGAAACCTTGTATCTATTGATACCTCGCATTTATTGACGCAGTGCATCTATTGACACCTTGCATCTATTAATACCTTGCTTCCCTCAACACCCATCTTTCTTCTAAGCTTAGCTTCGTAAAATGAACTTCCTGCTGTTCAATAGCAGTCATTACGTTTTAAGAATTTTTACTTCTGACGTACGCAAGAACGGACTAAAGGAAAAAGTCTCCTTCTGAATCTGAAAGAAATTTTTAAACCTATAATGCCATTTTTTATGGTTAGGTTGAAAGGCAAACTTTGATTACACACTTATGTCGTATTATGCACTGAAATTACTTTTCCATGTTGTTGGTAAGAATTTCCGAGGCCTCTGAATCATCGATTGCGTACAGATCATCCGAGGTGAGGTCCTTAGCGAGACCCTTTCGCAGCAGCGGAATCAGCCACCTTACAAGATTGTAGAAATTAAGAGTTATTTTCTATTATTTCATTAATAATTTGTAAATAATTGCAACTATTTTTGGTCGGGTTTTTCAGTTTCCAAGCTATTAGTTATGTGTGACCTTAATGCTAGCAAAGCTCTTGAAATGTATGTCTGCTGAAAATTTTCAACTATTCCAATAAGTCCAATAATTATGAACAATGATTGCAATTTTATGATGTCAGGCAAGGCATATTATAATATTATAGTAGAATATACAATGAGCATAAATTAATGAATTGAGGGTTACTCGAGTTTTAGTTCTAATATACTACCTCATTTGATCTTTTATTGTTAACTTATTATTTTGTAACCAAAAATTATCGCTCAATCACCCTTAAAACATCCTTTATTTATGAGACACATTGTCGATGGTCCGAGGGTCAGTTTAAAGAAACTTTTGTTACTGTGAAACTCTCGGGCTAATTTGTTATGAATAAAGTCCTTTTTCCCCTGACCATGAAGATGATATATATATAATATTAGATACTTTACAAAAGTAATTACTTTTAAAACAGTACCTCTATAGGAAAGTCAAGCATTCGGGAAGTTTCAGTCACACTAGCACCTGCCATACGGGCACCAACAATTTGGCCTCTTTGAAAGTCAGAGAGGTTGGCCATTTACAGGTTATAAGTGAGGTTTTAGACATAAAAAATTTACTAAAAATAGCTGTGCATAAAATATCAATTAGCAACAATAAACAATAACAAAATAAGTCACGTTTTCATTGATTATAACACGTTAAAAATTATGATATCAAAATATCAAGTGTTTCCTTAATTTTGTCCAACACCTTTACATATGGAGTAAAGTAATTCGAATGTCTCCTTTCCCCCAGTATTGGAGGAAGGGGGGGGAATTTTTTTATGCACTTTTCAAATTCGGCGGTGTCCGTGCCGAAGCTATCAGGTGCAAAATACGTGCGCACCACGAACGCCCCCAAGCTTTCTAGGTTTATGACCGGATTCTAATCTGACGCTTATTTCGCTCGTACAGCCAGAGCGTAAAGCGGACATACGGTAGAGCTGCTAATTTACTCGCCGGGCGAGCTAAAGTCGTCAAGTCGTCTAAAGCTAACCACCCCAAAAACTTTGATAGGGAATCGAATAATTGAAATTTCTAAAATCCGCCATCTTTAAAATCTATATCCTCCTATAATTTGAAGATTTAGCATTGAGAGATATACGTTGATATATTGAGAGATATACTTTTTGCCGTTTTCAACGAATTTCAGGTTTTCTCTTATTTTTTTCAAAAAATTCACAGAAGCAATAATACTTGTTCTTTTACTCGTTTACAGATGTGTATGAAATTTCAGTATATACAGGACTTTTTCCCGACCCATGCAGACGGTCCCCAACAATAGTTTGTTAACCTATTAAAACACCTAACCTTTCTTCTACCGCAAGCGTATAATAGACCGGGCAGTTACGTGTCACTTAAAAATCATTAGTACCGTTAGAAGGGGTAACTTTGGATTTGGAGTTTCAAAAGTTTGGCCCACAGTTAGAAGAAGTTTTGTTATGCTGTGGAATGATCATTTGACGAGTTATCGGTCTAGTTTATGCATAACTGGATAGGTAGAACTACTTCTGTTTTTATTGTTTATTATTTTTGGGTGTACCTCCATTTTTCTCCAACACTTCAGTGCAGCTTCATCTCCTGGATAAATAATGAAATTTGTGTACACCAAACTTTTACTTATAAACACTAATTATGTGAGCATATAAAATTTGAGTGCGTAATAATATTATGTACTCTATTGCTTCAAGTACTTTTGGAGTGTTTAGCAGGGTGAAGCGTTTTTTAAATTTTTTGGAGTTCGGTTTCGCAATAGTGCGGAAAAGTTGTGGATGTGCAAAGAAACGACGTGATCAAAATTCTAGACCCCTAGGTTGATTTTTCCACGATTCGAGGGTCGTTCTAAATTTTAAAAATACGAAGAACTAGTATATTCATGAAAATTTTTCCAAAAATTCAGATAGCCTTTTTAGAGGTCATAATAGGCAAAAATCATCATTAAAAAAATCCTAATAATCCCATGACCATAAGATGATAATATTAGAGCTCTAAAAATTATATGATTTTTTACCTATTGCGACCCTCAAGTAGCGCCAAAATTTGTATCTTTGGTTATAGTGTAAAATATATTCATATATATATGCTTTACCCTCGTGCTTTCTTATGATTCTCTAATAAAGAAGGCGGTAAGGTAGAGCTCTGAAACTTGGAACATATATACTTAAGATGATTTTATGAGGATTTTTGCCCATTGCGACCACTAAAAAGACTATCTGAATTTTAGGGAAAATTTTCATGAATTTGCTAGTTATTCATTTTTTTTATTTAAACGACCGTCGAATCGTGGAGAAATCAGCCGAGGGGTCTTGAATTTTGCACACATCGTTTCATTACACATCCACAACTCTTCCGCACTATAATTGCGAAACCGAACTCCAAAAAGTTGAAAAAAGTTCCCACCCTAGAGTTTAGGTTGCTACACAAGTTATTTACCATTTCATGACCACTTTCGTCCAGAATTGTAGAAACTTTAGCCCAAAGATTTAAACAAATCAATGTATCATTTATGTTTTGAAGAAATAAAAAAAAACAGTGAAAGTTTTATGCGGCTATATATGGTGTTGAGATGATATCAGAATCTGATGGCCAAAGCGCAACCATTTCGTATCTGAAAGAAATAATACATGGAGAAGCAGACATGTACCTGTTCACAGGCCTAATAATGAATACACACAAGCTGAATTGAAACCTGAAGACTTTACCGTTGATAACTTCGGGGATGTTAAACATAATGGACAGAAACTTCCTGGCGAAGTTGTGGGCTTGTCTGAAGAAAGACATTCAGTTGAATGCAATGAAGAAGGACATTCAGTTGAATGCAATGAAGAAGGACATTCAGTGAGTTTTCGGGCTGGCCAGAGAAACAAAATTGCTCGACGTCTGGGCAGATGTTAGTCAGAAGATAAATCATCGAAGAGGAACCAGTTCCAAGTAAGAGAAATATGGAGGTATGTGATGTTAAACGGCTTTTTACACACTTTGCGCCACAATGTTCTTCATTAAAATAATTGAAAGTTTGTTTACACATTAGGACATTATGATACATAGAAAATTATATATAATCACGGTAATGATATATTGAGCTGATAAAACTCCAAGAAAAAGTTAAATTTGGGCCAATGTTACCCCATCTTACGATACCCATGTAAATCGCTGCTCTGATCGAATATCAAATCAAATATCTGTAAATTGCCTCAATATAATCAATTTATAATTGTTCCTAGTATCATGTATTTAGGGTAATCATTGAAATATACTCACATAAACGTTGCATGAGCGAAGCTTCCTGTTGGTGGCTTACGTTTAGCATCGCTTCCTTCCGGTGACACGCATTTGCGTCGGGGTGCGAAAGTCCCAGTCATTTGTTCGATTTAAATATTTACTCAGAGTAAAATCGTGAATGACTCTCCGCTGCGAACACCAATAACATATATGATCTATGTCAGAAAGTAAATAATTATTAATTAAAATTTAAAGGTATCTGGATATCTCGAAAAGGGTTTTCAAAGATTGCGAAGTGATCATCGTTAATTCTATAGTAGTTAAGGCAAGTGATATGAATGATTAATGAATTTTTCTCCCAGCCTATCGCGTGCCATAAGTATTAAAGACGGAATATGTCAGGGAAATAATCCACAGTGTCTGTATCATGAACAAATATCGTTATAAAAGGTAATTTGTATTAGAATATAGCGTATGTATCACTGGAAATTTCCGAGATACTGTATTAAAATTTTAAACCACGCGTATGTACCTGCTTCGGCGGTACATATACTAAAATTGGAACGATACAGAGAAGATTAGCATGGCCCCTGCGCAAGGATGACACGCAAAATCGTGAAGCGTTCCACATTTTTTTTTTTTTTAGTCAAGTTTCAGCCGTGGTCGAGAGCGGACGCTCGTGTTTTGCGGTCCCAGATTTTCAACTTTTAACTTTAACTGTGCCGTTTTCGGAACTCTTTTTGCATTTTTTTATGATCCGTGTCAGTGAATGACTGAATTTTCAGTGAAGTCAGTAAAATAGAGTGCAAATAGAAAAAAAACCTATAGTAAAAGTGTTTCCATCTGAAATAACGCGATCAAGAGTCAGCGAGGGACGCAAACAGGCCAGGCGAGGGCAACGTGCAGCACTGCCCCGCCAGCGTAGAACAATAGAGCCCTTGTTTCTGTGGCCAAGCTACCCCCTCTACCCTGACACCTTTTACAACCTAGCAAATTACGGAGCAGGCAATAAGTCCAGCAGCTATCTCAATCAATCGTCAGTTATGGAAAGATCGGGTTCCAAAGGCCGGATCCCTTGTGAATCAAGTCACGAAAAATTCAAGAATCGGCAACAGGCCATGGGCCTATTTCTTCAACGCCGACACTTCTATTCTATTCTATAAGCAAATTACAGACATACGCGAGTAGTTCCGCCTCAAACAAAAAGTGTTAAAAAACGATTTTTCCAGGACCACGTAAACTAAAACATGTATCTCATCACCCACCCGACAGCGGAAACCTCACCCGACTCCACTCAGTGGACTTCCCACTCAAAACCAATGTAGATCCATATCACAGGTTTAAAATATTCTGATAAACAGAACCTGGCACCACTAGCATCAC